AGTTTCTCCTTTCCATCAGCCTGTGAATGTTTGTTTCCATTTTGCATTGCCTTGTGATTGCTTTCTGTAATTGTTAGGCAGTCAACATGGAAGACAGGGTGAAGATGCATGGTGGGGCCAAGCTCAAGCTTGTAGCTGTGATTGCCACAAATGTCAAGTACCTTATAAGGGCCCAGGGGACAACTCTTTGACAGCTTGACACTTGCCTGGTGGACGTTCACCTTGTCGGCATCCAGCCATACCATCTGTCCAACCTTGAACACCAGATGAAGGGTAACCTGTTGTCCTCTGGCCTCCTGCATGTGCTTCTTTGTCAACCGCAGCGCCACCTTCACATCCTCCCGCACCTCCCTCAGTAACCTCAACTGTTCCTCCACTGATGGTGCAGGACCTGGGCAACCAATGCAAATGTTCATCTGAGGCTGATACCCAAAGAGGACTTCAAACAGCAATTTCCCATGAGCCGAGTGGACATGAGAGTTCAAAACAAATTTGGCGTTTAACAGGTGAGTAGCCCACTTGTCCTGGCGCTGGTTACAGAAAAGTAAGGGGTACTTCTTGACTTCCTGATTAGTGCGTTCAGTCTGGCCATTTAACTGTGGGTGGTAAGCTGTTGTGAGCAAAGAAGAGATGCCCAGACGCTTCAAAAGTGCCTGCATCACCTTCAACGCAAACTGAGGCTCACAATCAGAGACAATAGAGTCTGGTAGGCCATAGTGAGTGAAGATGATGGTGTGTGTGGTGGACAGCAAGGAGCGGGGAGACACTGGGGTGGTAGGTCTGGAGCGAGGGCTCTACAGATCTGGAAAGTAGATAAGAATGATCTGGAGATCAGGCGCAAGACTGGATCTCACTGCACGCAAACTGTCCCGAAGACCAAGTTAGATTGAGTACACAAAAGATAACTAAGCGCAGCGCTGCATACCTGTCCCAAAGACCAAGATGTAAGACCCCGGGGATGATCTGCAAGGCAGCACACCAAGTAGTCTAGTAACAAAGATGAATAATGAGCATGGTGAGGCCGTGAGTATGTGTACCTAGTAACGAAGTGGATAAAACTAAAGAGCAACATCACATGATGGTTGGCGACACGTAACCCGCGCACGTGCTCAACGCGCGGGCCGCCACCATCAACGCGCGCCACTCTTCAGCCACCCACTGCCGCTACATCTACTCTACAAGGCTAAGTACGCTATGTATCGTAACACAAGAGGTCAAGATGGGAAAGCTGTGCACGCGCGCGCGTCCCTACTATGTACCCAGCAGTGTACAGCTAACCAATGATCTACTGTACAGTACTAGGCAATCAATGGCAAGATATCCCCTTGCGTAAATGTGCTCAGGTACCAGCGGGAGAACTAACATACGAGCATCCAGACGTGGAAATAGTGATTAGATCAAGAGAGACGCGGGCGTGTCTCGCAAAAAGGGAATGGTGCAAACCGGGTAGAGGATGGATGCAAGAGACTGAGACAAAGGAAACCGTGTATCAAGAACGGCAAACAATAAAGAGATTTGGGAGACAAGATGAATAAAAGGAAATAAAGATGAACGAAAATCAGAACGAGACTTAGACAGAAAAATGGTGAACATGGGCACTCCATCACAGTGTGGGTAATGTCCGCCGCCCCCTTGGTGTCCACAACCAATGTGGTGGGAGCGACATGAGTCATCTTTGTGTAGGGGTCCACGTAGGCTGCTATTGCATTGTACCCTCCTGACTTGGGGAGTTGTGTGATGAGATCAACACCTGTAACTCTCCAGGGCCGTTCTGGCACATCAAGAGGGTGAAGAGCCAACACTGGATGCGCTGTAGCTTGAGCCCGTTGGCAGGTGCTGCAACCCTTCACATACTTTTCCACAAATGAACGCACCTGAGGCCACCAGAACTGGCAATCTACCAGCTCCAGCGTACCGTGAACACCCAAATGACCCGCTGTCGGCGCATCGTGGCACTGGTGTGGGACCTTCCACCTTAGCTCCATTGTTGGCGGCACATACACCTGTCCACAATACATCACCAAACCATCCTGCTCCTCCCACTCTGCAAGGCCGTTTGCCAACTTCTGCACTTCTGAATTCCGCAACTTGCTCAACCCCTCAAGCACCTCTGCCTCTTGATAACTCTCTTTCCTGATCTCCTCCTCCAACGGGTTGGTGAACAACATGGCTGCCAGACGCTTGAACATTTCAGGCTTCAGCACCACCTGTTGCTGGTTATCCTCACTATTGTGAACTGGGTGGTGAGGCATCCTTGACAGTGCATCTGCCTGACTGTCTGATTTCCCTGACAGATAACTAAGGGTAAAGTCAAAGTGTGACAGATATAGGGCCCACCAAGCCTGGCGCCAGGTGAGATCCTGTACAGTGCGCCAGTACTCCAGGTTCTTGTGGTCTGTCCCAATCTCAAAGCCACCTGAAAGACCCTCCAAGTAGTATTGCCACTCCTTCAGTGCCTCAACAATTGCAAGCATCTCCTGGTTGTAGATCTGGTAGTTGCGCTTCGCAGGGATCATTGCCAACAATCAGAACGCAATGGGGTGCCAGATCCTGTCAGCCTGCTTCTGGAGAATAAACCCTCCAGCTGTGTAGCCTGACACGTCCACCTTGATCTTGTTAGGGAGATCCGGCAACCAGGTACACAGGATGGGCGCTGAAATAAACACATCCTTGAGTGCCTGGAAGGCCTTCTGCTGATCTTCTCCCCACATCCACGGCACATCCTTCGTGAGATTGTTGAGCAGGCGTGCTAGTCTAGCAAACTGTGCAATGAAACAATGGTAGAAGTTTGCAAAACCCAGGAAACCCCGTACATCCTTCAGCAAGCTCTTTGTGTTGAGAACCCAGTCCTTCACCACCTCCACCTTCACCGGGTCCATTGCCACATGCCCCTGGCGGATGATCAATCCCAAGTACTCAACCTCTTTCTTCTCAAACTCGCACTTCTCTGGATGCAGGTAGAGATCGTGATCCTCCAGACGTTTGAGCACCTCATGTGTCAGCTCCTCCAATGACTTGGTAAAAATGAGAATGTTGTCAAGGTAGACAGCGACTTTCTTGGCTGCAATGAGATTGGCAAAGATAGAGTTCATCAGCACCTGAAACATTGTCAGAGAGTTCATAAGCCCAAAGAACATCACTGTCAGCTTCCAAAGCCCATGGTTTGTCAAAAACACTGCCTTCCACTTGTTACCTTGCCGGATCCGTACATTGTTGTAACCCCAGTGTATGTCAAAATTTGTGAAGTACTTTGCATCCTTCAACCAGTTGATGATATCTGCGACAAGCGGGAGCAGGTAGGTGTCCTTGATTATGAATGAACTGGTTGATGCATTGATAGTCTTGGATGCATCAAAGGGATCCATCCTTCTTCTTCACAAAGAAAACCGGCGATGCAAGAGGTAACTTTGAAGGCTGGATGTAGCCTTTACGTTTGTTCTCTGTGAGGAACACGTCCATCTCCGCTTGCTCAGTTGGAGACATGTGATACACCTTGGTGCGCAGTGTTGCAGGAGCGTCAGGCAAGAACTCAATGGCATGGTCCCACGGCTTGTGCTCCGGGAGATGTTCCAATTCAGCTTCCAATAAGACCTTTGAGTGGCGGCAATACTCCTCTGGGATCATCTGCTCAAACATACAAGGTGCCTTTCCCTTGCTTGCACATTCTGCAATCTGCTGGGAAAATGTTTATCCTGCACAAACCCACAACTTGTCACCAAGCTCCTCCATGTGCCCAGCTTTGATCCAAGCACACCTTGTCTTTTTGTTCCCCTATAGAGAGGCGGGTTGGTTGGCAACTGCACTCCTTGCTTTCTTCCTCCTCCACTCCTGGCTCAGACTCTCCATTAACGGTCTCATCGGGTTCTTCCTCTAACATCAAATCTCCAGTTGGCGTCCAGCTTGAACCCTTGGGTCTCTCTACATTCTTCTCCTTCTCAATCACTATATTCAGCTTCTTCTCCTCCAGCGGACCCTCCAGATTGTTATATGCATGCTTCAACAAAGGATTGTGATTTCATTCAGACACATGATCATGTTTAACATGTGATTGCGTTATAGACTTATCTTAGATTAATCCTTTGTTTCCTCCTATCTTTCTTCTCCCTTGATTTCTCTTTGGTTCTCTCCTTGTTTTTCCAAGGATTCATGTTGTGAACCAACTAGGTTCCTCCTTGGTTTCTCCTTCAACTCACCAAGGAGTTGTTATGACTCATGTCCTTTCTCCTTCATTTATCCTTCATTTATCCTTGCAACTCAGCATGACTCATTAGCTAGTTACTGTTGTGTATATAAGACTGAGGAACTCTACTTGATTCCTCAGACAGAATAACATCTTTGCTACCACATCTAGTCACTGCATCAATCCACATTCTACTCTTTCACTCTCTCTCTCTCTCTCTCTCTCTCTCTTTCTCTCTTTCTATCAAGTGGACTCAGCAAATACGAGTCCACAGTTATTAGAAGCGGCGTCAGGCTACAGACAAGACCTGTTTGCCAACGGACTTATTGCCTAGTCTTGCTAGTTTTGGGCACGGGCATAACACCCACTCTGTTTCTAGACACAATCATATGATACATAGCCTCCTGTAGTATATAAGGATTGCTCTGCCTGCCTAATATCTAACACTTTTGCTCATACTTTCCCTCCCTTGCTTATATCACTCTAAGCTCAGTCCTTCAAGACATATCTTTGGTGAGAGTCTGTTACGCTAGTTACTCTGTACACTGCTGGTACCTTTGTACTCTGCGCTCCAGCTACATTTGTACCTTCATTACTGTGTGTACTTATGTATATACTATACAGATCCAAGATGTGTACCATGTACGTGAGGCACCAGAGCTTGTGAAACCTCAAACTCCAAGTCATGATCCTCAATGCCCATTGGTGAGTACATCTTCGCGCCCATCACCGCGTCCGACGTTGCGCCGACGACGAGACGAGGGCGCCGGCTGCGACTCTAAAGAGTCTAAAATAAAACAAGTGCCAAAATCAACTGCATTGATCTAAGCAGGGCTCGAACCTGCGACCTACTGTGCTCAACCGGTCCCCGAAGAGATACGTTGTAAGACAGGCGTGATAACCACTACACCATTAGACCAGGCTGACGTTTTCCTTTAGCAAGTATATAGGTCTTTGGCTAGGCTTCCTTGAGTGCCAACCTTGCGAGATAACGGTATATAGTGCGTCTGGTGCCTTTGGCTCGTGTTCTTCGAGCCTGGTGGAAGTTACCCAGCTTCCGTACCCGCTGTGTGACGACAGTGTAACGGAATTGATGCGCCTGATGCGCCCCGGACGTTCCCATCAATGCCTCCCAGCGGAACCGCGCCAAATCACCAACTTTGCTTTGCACCACCACCACCACTGTCTCCTCCTCTTCTCGGTTTAGACATACTCCTCCTCCTCCCGGTATAGACCATAGATAGACAGGTGCACTTGGCGACCCACTACGCATCATGCCCTCCGGCTCTCTCCCTCGATTCCGCGTTCCCTTGCAACAACAACGTTCCCGGGACAAATTCTTCAAACGACTCTCCCGCAACATCCGACACAGCCGCTACCTCCAGCCCCGCCCCCTCCTCGTCATAATAACCTTCTCTATCTGCCTCATCTACCTCGTCTTCTTCGCCGGCCGAGACCACCACGGTACCGCGCTCATCTACGGGTACCTCCCTGCGGATCCGTCGACGGACTTTAGCCGGAGGGGGAATGTGAAGTATCCACCGACGTGGGGGAGGATGGATAAGTTCCAGAAGGACTTGCCGCAGCATGATTTGGACCTGCCGTTTCCGGAGGGGAGGACGGGGAGGTATGTCAAGTTTTCGAACCAGATTAGACAGCTGGGGTGGAATAACTGTTTGAATGAGATGCACGTCTCCCCCTCCTCTTCACCCAGGCGCGTTTACTCACGCGTTCGTGGTTATTAGGCTGATGAACAACGTCCTGGCCTACGAAACGAACCGGTCCTACGTATTCAACGACTACTGGTGGAAGAAAGAATACTACCACTGGCCCAAATCCGTCCGGCGCACCAAGATCCCCCGTACCCCTCTCAACGCCATAATCTCCGGTCCCACCTCCGGCGCCCCCTACGGCCCCAACGACCCCACCCCCCGCTCTGTCCACGAAGACTACTACGAGCTCGCCTGCCCCAAGTCCGAACGGCGCATCATCAACACCGGGTCCATAAAACCTGCCATAAACGAGGCGGAAGGAAGCCTGATCTTTGAGACGTGGAAGAAAGTCCTGTTGGACGCGCCGGAGCGGTGTATAGAGGTCGTTCCGGAGGATAGAAAGATAGACGGGTACCCACAGACGTTCGACCTATGGTTCTTCGGCTCTATCCACAGCTTATCAACATGGGACCGATTCAAAACCTCCCCCGTCTCCACCCTCCTCCGAACATCACCCATCGTCCTCGCTGCCGTCGAACGCAACATCCACCTCTTCCGGCCTGTCACCTCCGCCCCTAGCCGCGCTCTCACTACAGCGGAAGACCCGTTCCGCCGTGTCGTAGCGATGCATGTGAGGAGGGGCGATTATAAGGAGGCGTGTAATGGGCTTGCGCAGTGGAATTCGAGTTATTACAACTGGAATTTGTTGCCGGAGTTGCCGGACCAGTTTGTTAGGCCAATGGGGGGTGGGTATGGGTGGAATACGCCAGAGAACTACGATATCTTCCGCGCGCATTGTTTACCTGATATCGAGGATATCGTGAAGAAGGCGAGGGACTCCAAAAAGGAATTTATAGATTCCCACTTCACCAAAGACACCGAGCTCCTCAGTTCCAGTCTCGGCACCAACTCCACTACCACCACAACAGAACCCCGTCGACGCGCACTGGACGTGATGTACCTCCTAACCAACGACCGGTCCTCATGGATGAAGGAGCTGATCCGCGCGCTACGGAAGGATGGGTGGGAGACGATACGGACGTCGGGGGATTTGGAGCTGGATCAGCTGGGGCTGGATGTGAATATGGCGGTGGATATGGATATTGCGGGGAGGGCGGCGGTGTTTGTTGGGAATGGAGTGAGTTTTCGTCCGGTTGATTTTTCGTTTTGGAAGTGGTCGTTTTGGGAGTGGTCGTACCTCGTCTTGTGCGCGAGGCATTGTTCTTGAGGACCCGTGGTCATTCGGTTCTGACTTGTTTCTGGTCTTGTCTCCCGCCTCAACCTTTACTAACGTTCGTTCTCTCCACAGTGGTCCTCGATGTCGAGCAATATCGTTCATAGACGGATTATGGCGGGTCATGATCCAATAGGGACGCGGTTTTGGTAGTAGACCCAATCAATCGATGCTGTTTGAACCTCTGTTACTCGTGCTTCTTCAACCTCTCCGTCAGTCGTGCTTCTGGAACGTCTCCCGTGGTTCGGTCATGCCATTGTACCAGGCCTGAAGTTATGTTCCACCGCAGTTGAACTGGGGTACCTTGGAAGTTGTAATGCGCTCTTCCTCCCACCTCGGTCAACTGCGACCGCCTTCTGCCCCCTCCTCGGTCAGCTGTGACCGCCTGGCCTTCCTCACGGAGGGGGTGACCGTTGATCTTCACGACCTAAATGTAGAATGAGGTATACTCAGACCGCTGTGAGAACAATACTCGCGATGTATGCGATATCTGTGCGGACTTTCGGCGCCGCGATGTAATGCGCTGGATAGATCGCACATCCCGCCCGGACTCGTTGCACCTTCGTGGTATCTTTCGAGTCAGGGATTTACGTGAGTAATGGCGAGGGACTTGGTATAAAAGCAGACGTGAATCCATCTTTGGATAGTATCATCAGTCATGGTTCGTCTTACTAGGTATGTCTCCTTCAAGTTTCGAGCCTTTCTCGACCCGTCCTACATAAGATTTCATTAATCACGAAACATCTAGCATCATCATCGCCGCCGTCGCCCTCCTCCCCAGCGCCCTCGCATCGGTAGGCATCAGCACGCCCCAAACCAGCGTCTCTGGTTCGAAAGCCGTGGTGACCTGGAGCGGCCGGGACGACGCCAACGCCGCTGACCCCGCAAAGTTCGACATGTACTTGGGCGTCGCCGATAACGCGAACATGGTGTTCAGTATCTTGGCTACGGGCCTCAATGCGAAGGGCGCGCGGAATGCGACGATGAGGTTCCCGGAGCTGCCGCATAGGGACGATTATGTGTTAAAGGCTGTTATTCCTGGGTGAGTACCGGTGCTTTGAATTTTGCTTTAGAGAGTGGTCGGCTGATGAATTGGGTTCTGTGCCGTAGGACGTCGTGGATTATTGGTCTCAGCGAGCCGTTTGAGCTCTGGCCTGAGTAGATTCGACTCTAAGGCTGGGGGATAGTGTACTTATGCGCAGATGTACTTTCGTTTATCGATATCGATGGTCCATACAGGATCTGTTTTCAATACACCTTTTGAGATGTTCCCGCCTACGAAACATGTGTTCGAACTTCGACGGTCATATCACTTGATGCCCTGATAGTTCGAAGTGCATGAGGTGAGCTCATACGTAGCGCCGAGGGTTAAAGGCAGATAACATTCCAGAGCTGCTGAGAGCGAGGAGTGCCGTCGAGAGCGAAGGTGGTGGTCAAATCCGTCCATAACCGTCACGTGTGTTTATCTCACTCCTTCAACACGAACCACATCCACCAACTACTGCAACTAGCCACCCAATCTCGCTATGGACGCCCGTACCTCACAGACTATACCTCCATGCGACACACTGCCTAGTTCTCCTTCCTCAGAAACACCTGCGCATACGCCAAGAACGACGACTAGCGATCAGGACGCAAGCGCATACAACCACGCCCTTAGCTACGATGATCCAAGTGCATACAGTGCATACACTCAGGAACAAGCCAGTGCAGACAGCCAAGACGCCATCCACTATCCAAGCTCGTATAGCCAAGACTCTATGAATGTGCTCGACTCAGACTCTTTTGAGGCTCTAGCTCGCGAGTTTAGACACTTGAGCATCGTTCCAAGATTTCCCGCATCAGAATTATCTCCTCCTTCGTCAAGGAACCCATCCGCTTCCTCGTCCCTCATAGGGCTCGGTATCACCTCCTTCGATAGTCCAATCAGTACCTCTGGGTTTCTCTTTCGCTCTGCTGGGAGGAGAAGTTCGGCGTCCCACACGCCGTCAAGATCCTGGGACGACTCGGACCAGGACACGTCGACGGAGCTGTCAGAGAACATTCTTGACGAGCTGTTGCTCACCTTTACTCGGCGTGAGGAAGGATCAGTTCTTCGAGACGTAGATGCCATCAACAGCAACTCTCTATCTGGACTCGCCGAACCTCGCGATCGCGTCGGAATACGCATGGGATCTGGAGACTCGATCGATAGGGATTTGCAGGGGTATGGAGGGGATGTGGAAGATGATATCGTCCTGATTGGGAAGGGCCGTTGTAGCGGTTCTGGTCCGCGGCCGAAGAGAAATCCATCGACGAAGTCGAGGAGACGGGTTAGTGTTGGCGCGGTGAGGCGGCAACATAGTGGGAAACGTTCGACTACAGCATCTGATATGGTGTAACTGTATCAATGGAGATTGCTTGGGGTTCAGCTTGTTGGCCGCGCGGTTGGGGCGTCGCCTACTGCATGTATTGTACGCGTTTATTGTACGTTTCTCTGAATCTCAGGGCTTTTGGTTGCTACTTAGCATATGTCACTGTGCCGAACGATCCTTGATCCGAGACGCGCGCTTTCGATGGATTAAACTTTGTTCACAGATGCTGTCAGGCTCGGCACGGAGAAAACTCCCTCGGTGTGCCTGGAGCATTTACTGACAGACGTGAGATGAGAGGGTGCTCTGGATGCTCAGCAGCCTTCTAGTCGCGCTGCCATACAGATGAGCACGCTGCGCACGGCAGGGCGTCTCTCACCCCAATCTAAGCAACAAAAGAGCGCTAAAGCTGATCTTGGCTGCTTATGTCTGTGTGTACATAGAGAGTAGTCTGGGCGACATGAGTTTCCATGGAGAGCGCTCGTTCTTCCGCATAGAAGACTAAGAAAGCGGCCCTGGAACAACGAGAACTTGAGGAGAACCTTGAACGTATGGATGCGCTTGTATTCCAAATGTCATTGCCACCGAGGGCCTAGACCGCTTGGTTCTAGCCACATTCTGC